AATGCAATGTGATTGATAAAATATTCAATTTGTGCCTATTAGCTCTAGATTAATGTCAGACCGTGTATGTTGGACTAGAAATCTTGGCTATTAACATTCAGTCTCTCCAGTTAACATTCACTGATAATCAAAATATATTTTGGTCATGGCTGATGCCAAGGTAGGGTGAAGGGACAGACTAGACAATCTCCTGAGATGCCTTGCAGCAGTTTTCCTTTAGTGGAAAGCCTGGCATGCTGCTTATGCTCATTTAATCGTACAGCATTTCAAAAGCACTGACATGTGCTTTCACAGTTTCTGCACTGATTGCATTAAAGAAATTTGAAACTATGTAAAACGTATGTTTAAAAATGTACTTAACCCTGCACGTCTTCTGTAACATCAGTATTCAGCAAACACAGAGGTACTAAACAGAAGAACAGCACGATCTGGTCAGAGACTAGGTAGGTAGAAAGCCATATTCACCCCACCTGCAAGGGATTCTCCACCACAAACCAGTAAAGAAGTTCGAGCACCAGATTTATGAGGTGCCTGAAAGCACCAAGTCTCAGGGTACACTCATGGCTGATGGAAGATGCAATCTTGGTTTTTACACAACCAATCTCTTTGTTATCTTTCTCTCTCTTCACAGTTCCTCTGTATGTGACAGCAATGCTCTAGGGTTGTGTCCAGACTTTCCTGGGCTCCTGAACCTGAACCTCTGACCATGAAAGTTGTCATGTCCTGCTCTGACCCCAGTTAGGAAGGTCTGCGACCCTCTGTGGTGTGCCACGGTGCCCACCTTGCCTGTGCATCCTGGATGAATCCCTGTGCAGTGGGGGACAGTGGCAGTGGTGGAAAAGGGTGGGAGGAGCATGAACATCCAAAGCTCGCTGACGTGGACCTGGCACAGTGGGAGTTTGCATCCAGACCCAGGAATTTGGAAAAATTCCTGGCTTCAATCATATTGCTGTCACTGAAGCACCCTAGTGATGCAGGTGCTAATATAGTTTGTAGGTAACAGAGGAATCCCTTCTGATGCTTTGACTAAAGGTGATGTCAACACACATCACCTGCCAGCAGGAAATTTCAGCAGTGGGAACTGCCTTGTCCTGAAGAGACTTTCCTGTTGAATATGATGAGGAGTGACTGTAACACATAACAACCAATGAAAAGTTGGATTATTAAATGCACTGCTATTCTCAGTAGAAGCTGAGAGGATGTGTAATTTAAAATGCTTCACTGTGCTCTTACCAGCCACTGACCAGATAGCCTAAATTCTACCACTTAGTCTTCGTAAATGTGGAGATCTTTGGCTTTGACCCCTACTCCATCAACATTCCACTAATTCTTCAAAATCTAGTCCAGGGCTACCAGCACATTTTCTACCAGATAATAGAGCCATTTATGCCATTTCATTGCCACAGTGTCGAAGTGCCTAAGAAAATTTATAAAAACAATGTATTTTGTCTCAGACTAGTCCTGTTCTGAGGTAAGAAAATGTAGAGGCTCTCAGTTGCTGTGTTTTTGCAGAAAGTTTGTTTTGCTTTTAACATCATGCATTTAAAGGTTAAAGCCTCAAAATCCAGGCAGAAGACACTTTATCTATTTAATTAGCTAGAACAACATGGGATAAGAGAAGTAATGGGACCATAAAAAAACCAGAAACTGAATCCTAATATGATTAGATGTGAGGGTTCCAGACAAAAAAAAAAAAAAAAAAACAAAACCAAACAAAAACCTCCCATCTTTATGCCATCAGAAGGTTTTATTAGGATTATGTACACCACTCAGCTTGTACCTTGGAAGATAGATATTTTTGGATTGAGATCAGTGCATAAAACAGCTATTAGGATCAGCAAATGCATATCTCATTATGTTAGGATAGTAATGTGCTTGACAAACCTCACACCATTGCAAAAGGAAAGATAGAGGGGGGAATATGATATGTGTTTAAATGCATCATGATGTAAACATATTGGAAGAAAAGCTACTAAGAGGAAAAAAAATGAACCTTTGAACCAGATTTATTGCAGGAGAGAGGAGGGAGAAACTACCAGCCTGGCTTTGGGAGAGGTTTGGCCTGCACTAGCCAGAGCTACATTTATTCATTAGAAGGATTATATAATGCGTCCATGATGGAAGAAAACCAGACTCAATGACATAGATGTTGTATCTCAAGAGCAGCCCTTTGAGGGCTTTGTGCCCTCCAGCACTTCCACGGACCTTCACGCGACCCCAGGGCACGCACCACACACCCTCAATTGCAGGCAATACATCCTTCCGTTTCAAACATACACATAACAAAAAAATAAATTATTAGAGCCACAAGAGGAAGATAGGGACCAGAAGAATCCCAGGAATAAGTGTTACGTATTGTGGACATTGAGAATATGTGGCACTTGGCATTAAGTACATAGATGTAACCACATCTATCCATGCCAATAGCCCATAAAATTACCCACTTCTGATTTTAGAATAGCCTTCTCCACCTCTCAGTGTTTCATGTGGGGTTTGAAATATCTCTATCACTATTATTTCTGACAGCCATTTGATAACTGTGTGTCTCTCAGGATGAAGAGGTGTTGGAGTTTGATTTAGCCATCCTTGAAGCAGACAGACTCTTTTAATCAGAGTAAGTTACTTATTTCTGAGCAGAAACTAAAAGATGGCGTCTTACATTAATTTAGCCTCATCAGTCTCCCAGTAATGTTTTTTCAGACCATTTAGTGAGACCTCTTTCAATCCATTAACCGCTTCCCTCTAAGATGAGGAATTCCCCCTGTAGATGATCAGTCGTGTACTGTTGTTTCAGACAGGGCAAGAATCACTCAGAAAAACCGAAAGTATTGTGGAAGCATATGGAAAATAATTGTTTTTATGGAAGACATTTTCTGTGATGAGGGTGGTGAGGCAGTGGAACAGGTTGTCCAGAGAAGGTGTGGATGCTCCATCCCTGGAAGTGTTCAAGGCCAGGCTGGATGTGGCTCTAAGCAACTTGGTCTGGTGAAAAATGTCCATGCTCATTGAACTAAGGTTGGACTAGATGACCTTTAAAGGTCCCTTCCAACCTGAACCATTCTGTAATTCTATGAAAAATACGAGGGACCAGAGAATGCTTGTTGGACAGTGTACTTGTTAGATGAAGAATATTTCATCCTGGGGTGTCATGAATATGTTACAGCCTTAGCCCTGGACATTAAACGTGGTGCCCACGGAGAAAAGTGTGATCCACTGTGCATGAGATCCAGGACAGAAGTCTCCTAGTAAGCTAACCATGTCCAACACACACCCTCAGACAGTGCCACACAGTGGCTGGGCAGGCCACAGGGAATGGCATACAGCAAGAACTGTTACCAACACTGAAAGAGAGGGTGAGTCCACAAATGATTGTTAGCATTGCAGACAGTTGATTTAAACCTATTTTTATTCTTTTCTTGACCCTTTAATTTTCTTCCCTCCCATTTTTCTTAAAAAGGCAGGACTGTACCCAGTGTAGTTAATATTTGTGATTTCCATCACAGATGCCTCTGTCTCTCTCTGAACATCATAAACTCTCACTTGAGGTATTATGGAAGAGAGACAGAGAACCCTGTCCAGACTCCCATGGCCTATTTTTTCCAGTGAATGGCTCCAGGAAATGGAGAATGACAGAGACGAAACAAATGTCTTTGGCTTAGAGGAATCTTGGAGCTGGTTACCTTCTGCCTTGAGCCTGCCAAGTGTGGAAGGTCAAGTATGCCTGACATGACTGCTGGATATGATCTTGTACAGATACACCGGATGAAGCATAATTCAACCATCCTCAAAGCCAGTTCTCCTGGAGCCACCCTCACAGTAAAATAGAAACCTGCTGAGCGTGTAAGGAACCAGCCTAAAGGCTCCCAGTGAATTTGATGACTGTTGCTTGAATGAGACAGTCTTTTTCCCTGCAGGTGAATCTCCTGGGGGTCTCAGCAGATGACTCTGTGTTTGGAGGCCAGTGTGGAGGAGCACTGGTACACACCACTGTCACACAGCACAAACTGCAGTTGGTAGCAGGTGCTGCTCATTTTGAGGGGTCTCATGAGGAAAGCACTAACTGGTCTTTCAGAGTCCATGCCTTCACAGAATCACAGAATATGCTAAGTTGGAAGGGACCCACAAGGATCATCAAGTCCAACCCTTAGCCCTGCACAGGACCATCCCCAAGAGTCACACCATGTGACTGAGAGCATTGTCCAGGTGCTTCTTGAACTTTGTCAGGCTTTGTGCTGTGGCCACTTCCCTGGGGAGCCTGTTCCAGGACCAAAGCACCCTCTGGGTGAAGAACCTTTTTCTAATATTCCAACCTAAACCTCCCCTGACACAACTTCAGGGGTCCTGTCACTGGTCACCATAGAGAAGAGATCACTGCCTTCCCTTCACAAAGAAGTTGAAGACTGTACTGAGGTCTCCTTTCAGTCTCCTCTCCTCCAGGCTGAACAGACCAAGTGACCTCAGCCGCTTCTCATACGACTCCCCTTCAAGGCCCTTCACCACCCTCACTGACCTCCTTTGGACTCTCTAATGGCTTCATATCCTTCTCACACTGCAGTGACCTAAACTGCCATGATACTCAAGGTGAGGCTGCCCTAGAGTGGAGTGGGACCATCCCCTCCCTTGCCCGGCTGGAGATGCTTTGCCTGATGCCCCCCAGGACACGGTTGGCCTTCCGGGCTGCCAGGGCACTGCTGACTCATATTCAACCTGCCATCGCCCAGGACCCCCAGCCAGGGTGGCTGCAGAGGATGCAGAAGTAGATCCCAACACTCCTAAGGCCACTGGAGAGCGGGGGGGCAGAGAGCCCACGGCTGCTGCTTCTTGGGCGCTGCGCTCCTCACCCAGGGGCATGTTCCCTCCGCACACCCTCCGTGGGGCAGGAGAGAAAACAGCAACACGCACCGTGATCAGCGGCCCCGCACCAGGAACCCTGCTCATCCCTCCATCCAGGGACGGCTCCCAGCGCCCGGCCCCGCTCCGGGAGGAGGTGCCACCGGCGGGGCGGGGACGGGCGGGTCCGCCCGGGGAGCGGCACAGCCCGGCCGGAGCCGCCGCGGGAGGCACCGAGCGGCCGGGGCAGAGCCATGGCCCAGAGATACGATGTGATTGTGGTCGGAGGCGGCATCTCAGGTGGGTTCGGCGGGGTCTGGGGTCCGTGGTCGTCGGCGGTGCCGGCGGGGCGGTGCCGGAGCATCGCGGCGGAGGAGATGCTGCGGGCTGAGCGGGGCTCCTCCGGGGAGCCCGAGGTGCGAACGCATCTTCCCGCCTGCTCGGTAAAGCTGGCTGAGGTCGCTCCCCATAATTCGGGCGGAATACCATATGATGCAGGCAGTATTTTATTATTATTAAATTATTAGTATTAATTTTTATTGTATTATTATTTTAGTTATTTTTATCTTATTTTTATTTTATAATTTACTCTATTACTACTTTTATTTAATAATTTATTATAATTATTTTTGTTTTATAATTTTCTTTATTATTATTATTATTTATTTTTATTTTATTTTAATTTTTATTTTTAGTATTTTTACTATTTTATTCAATAATTTATTATCACTTATTTTTATTTTATTTTTTTATTATTTTTATTTTTAGCATTTTTTAATTTTACTTTTCACTATTTTTGTTCAATTTTATTTTACTAATTTACATTTTGTTTTTTTCTGGTTCTTCCAATGTCCAGTTTCTAGTTCCCCTTTCAGTGCAGGTATGGGTCTGAGAGCATGAACAGCCAGGTAGAAATGGATGGAGTATTGTGGGCCCTGGAGCCTTCTTGCATTTGAATGGCAATCTGCTGTTTTTAACCTAATCCGGGTTGGAAGACCTCTGTGTCTGCCCACAGTGAATCTCTTTCCTGTGTGTTTTGTTCCGAAATACATGTGCCAAATAAATAATGTATGTGCAGTAGATAAATGTTTTCTTCTGTGCCTTTGACATATCAAACAATTGCTTTTTTTCTCCTTAGCATGGGGAGGTATGCAGTGTGAGAGCTCCTGTCCTGTATGGCAGTCTCCTCAGTGCATACATCCACAGATCTAAGTAGTATTTCTGGCCAAACCACAAACAAATTACTTGATATGTGTTGCAAAATGTGATTCTGTTAATCCATTTTTTTTTCACATGGCTTTTAATTTCCACTGTTTATTTATATATAATTCTAGATGTCTGTTTAACCGTTATATTAAGGTATGCAGCATGCAATTTGAATGATATACCAAATGCAGTGACAAAATCATTCTCTGATTCTCTGATATGATTCTCTGATAACAAACTGCTGAATAGTGATTGAATGTTTCAAGTACGTTTATACAATTAGCAAAAATTAACCATTGCTTTTCTATAAAACACAGTTGATTCTGGACACAGCATTATGGCTAATTTTTAACTTACACCGTGTTTCATAGTGAAACTCAATTACAGAAATTACCCAGTGGTAATTATCTGTTCATGTCTTGTAAACAAAAACATTTCCAATGACAGGGTTTTGTACAGCAGTAGTGCTACATTCCCTCTGTTGAATGAGTTGGAGTGGAAGAGTTAGTGTAACAGCTTTTAATATACCCTTAGTTTTTTTTATGGTTGCCATGGGAATATTTTCATGGCAAGTCTGCACAGCCCACATATGTTTTTCTGTAAGAGCAGTCAGAACAGAGAAGCACATGCTATGCCATGTTAAATTGTGGTTCACTCTTTGCTACCTGTAGACAGCAGCAAGTGGCAGTGGGGATGCAGGGAACCTGTTTTCTATTGACTTCTTTTTACACCAAATCTTCACCAAAGCGTTCTTGTTTCACGCTGTAGCAACATTTATCCTGTCTTCACACAAAGGCTGGGAAAATTTACGAGCACAAAAATTACTTTTGACTAAGTACCCCTCTTCAGTCACTTCCCTTTAGCTGCTGTGTACCACTCCTGCTTCACCTCTGATTCACACTTCTCTGTAAATCATTGGCCTTGCAGCCAGGTGATGAAACTGTGGTTTTATATCACCTTATGCTGCTTGAAAACTCCTGTTAACATGCGCAACCACTGTAGAAATCTCTTCTCCCATCCACTGGAGAGTGAAGTGTGTGATTTTTGAAATGAGGGACTCCTTGGTGACCAGGTTTGTTATTATTCAACATTTGATGGGTTCCTTCAGAAAGTCACAGATTTTGAGCTGCCTGAGGTGCAGCCGACTGAGATTCCGTGGTTACTGCCTTTAGGTGAGGAAGGCATCAGTTGGTGCACAGCTGTAGAACAGCAGAAAGCTCTTGTAACATTCAGATGTGCTTGAGTTGGTGGCTACAGCAGTCAGCAAAGCAGGTAATTGCAGAACAAACAAAGAGGTGCTGTGCCAGCAAGAGGATGTAAACAAACGTGTCACAGAGCTGCCACCTGGCTGTCTGTATTCTATTTGTTCCTTTAGGGTAGTGCAAGCTGTCCTTTTGCAAACTCAGACCCTCCTTGGCAGCGGTTCTGTGTATCTTTTTATTCAGATGTAATCAGTAGGGTCTAAAATTTAAAGAGTGAAAGAACCACATAATGGAATAGCAGTGCAGAGGCCTTCACAACCCTGCCAGTCACTGTTCTCCTCTGAAGGCACTGATCTTTTATCTGAGGATGCCACTTCCTTTGCTGAATCATTTTTTGTGTCCTTTATTGGAGGTTTGATAAAAGGCAACAATAAAACTGAAGAACTGACTAATTTTAATTTTACGTAATGAAAATCTACTCAAAACTACTCTTAATTTTTTCAAGTCCAAAAAAATGGTCTGTGGTTTTTCTGAAGATGTCAGACAATCTTAATAGGGTTTATGATGATGAAGACCCTTGAGGAACAGGGGGATTTACTAAGGAGTAGATCCTGGTTTTTGGGTAAAACTTCATCAGAAGTCTATGAAATATTTCGTTTAAAAAGAAATATTTTAAAGGAAAATTTCCCAGTGTAAAAAAGCATATATGAAAATGCTTCTCCACACACCATGTGTAATATGCCTTGTACTAAAGAATATTTGGATCTGAAGCATAACAGGCCCTCATAGAGCTGGAACTTGCATCATAACAGGTTCTTTTCTTTGCTTAGTTGTCCCTTTTTCTTTGAAGGACTCCTCAAGCATGAGGGTCAAAACAAGTATTAGAAAACTATGAAGTTATGTCAACAAACTTGTTTATCTTCTTAATTGAGATACTGATGATAGAAATTTTCTTCAAATATAATCTTGGAATCTATTCAGAGGTTTTGTTTGAAGATTTTCTCCATGTGTTTTCAAAAGTGCCTCCCTGTCCCTGCTTTCGCCATGGGAACCTCTTTCCTTCTTTTGTTTTCAAGTAAGTTAGCATATTTTATCCTCATGTTATGACAGTCCTTCTTAAGAAAATGCTTCTCTTACATCTCTGGTGCACAGATTTCACAATCAAAGCAAGGTTAATTGATTCTCTTTTTTCCCCTGAAAGGTGAAGCCTTCTCTTAAATGGAGTGAATGTTATTTGAAGTATGCTTAATGTTTTGCTGTTCACAAGCAATCTTGTCATATTCCTGTAAGTTTAGAACCAAAACATATGGTAAGATTAGGTTATGTTAGGTTTTAAAAATATTTACATACCCATTGTTGCATTAGTGAGATACCACTGTGCTCTCTACTCTTCCTCTTCCTAACACTCGATTTTTAATTGTGTGATGATCTAATGTTCTGTATAATTACAGTAGCTCTCACTGCATCTGTGAACCAGTTTCAAGTTGCTTTAAAAATAAAAACCAAACCAAAACACCCCAAACCAGGCTAAGTGTTTTGGGGGCTGTTATCTGAAAGTGTTCTATCTGTTTTAAAATAAATGCAGGGGGCAAAATTTTTTAAAATAATTTTTTTAAAACTATTTAAAAAAAATTTAAAACAAAACTAGGACATGCTGTAAGAAAACTATAGACAAGATGTATAATCTTCAGTAGATACTTGTTTCTTTTTGTTCTCTGGTAGTAATTTACAGTGTCTCAATACTCTTCATTTGAAAAGATACTTTGCCAAATGAGGCACTATGTTTTTGGAGACCATTTCTATTGTGGGAGTCTTATGCTAGATGGAGAAGAAAAAACCCCAGACCAAAACAGGTAATGGGCATGGATGGAATAGCTGTGCATGATGAATCAGAATGGATACATCTGTGGGAGGATTCTGACCCTCTCCATGGGATATCACCCTCTCTGGGATGCACTGTGGCAAAGGGAATCCAGGACATTTCCCTGTCAGTTTACCTGATGAAGCTCTTGGTTCATATTTTCGGTCCCCTGTCTCTGTATCTGCCATCAGGGAGTTATTCCTTTTGCATTCAGCTACTCTCATGGCTACTGTGAAGGACTATGAGGCAGTTTGGTGGAGCCTGCATTTGACTTCTAGATATTTCACAGGAAAAATTTGGCAGTGCACAGTAAACAGAACAGAAAGCAGCTGCATAATGTTGTGAAATAGTTTGGTAGCCTAGGCAGCAGGGACAGCACTTGTAATTCACTGTCTGATACCTCCTAATTGGTCTGAAAGTTGATTTGATAAGAAGCTTTCCAGTCTACCTGCAGGAGCCATCTCATCTTGCAAGGCTCAAAGTGATGCATCATTAAGGAAAGCTTTTCCATTAGCTTATTTAACCATTATGAAAGAGTGTCATTAGGGAAAGTTCATTCAGTCTGTTCAACAAAATGGAAAAACCACCATGGAAGGGCCAAAAAGGGTAAGTTAGGATGATAAAATTTTGGGCAAAGAATTGCTGGGTAGCTAATATTCGAAATAACTGGTAGAGAATCAAAGCATATGTGTAGAAGCAGATGTAAGGGTTACAAACTGAAAGGTCCACAGGATTTTCTTATCTGTACTGCTGAATTGCATATTTTTTTTTTTTTTTTGACAAACAAGATTAGGAACATGAGAGGCTGAAAGCTCTTTGTAAGAAAGTTCAGTGCATTGTTTTCTTGGACAACCACTTGCAGGGGTGTTTTTAGTTGGTGAGGTTTGTCAGTCTAACCTAATCACACTGCAGGTGATGGTACGTGTTCATCTGCATTAGTGTCTCAGTTCAGACCAAGTGTGTACCTGGACCACATCTTCTGGTTGACCCTATTTACTGTTCTACCATGTGCATCAAGAGAGAAGGCTTGG